GTACAAGCAGATCACATGGAGAGAGGAAGCAGAGAGAGAGAAGGTGCCAGGGTCTTTTAAACAATCAGCTCTCGTGGGAACTAATAGAGCGAGAACTCACTCATTACTCCCCCCACCTAGGGACTTAATCCACTCATTAATCCATTCATGAGGGATCCGCCCCCATGACTCAATCAGTTTCCAACACTGCCACATTGGGGATCAAATTTCCACATGAGTTTTGGAGGGGACAACACATCCAAACTCCATCAGACAGCAACTTGAATTCACAAGAGGCAATGAACACCTGTAGAGGTAGCCATGCAGGCAAACAGAAAAGACAGTATTTTTGGATTGTAACCTTTTTCTATTTGATTTCAAAGACAATTTCATAAAGCAATTACAAGTCTGTGTTGACGGGCATACAATATATAAAAATCCATTTGCATGACAGCAGCAGCACAAATGAAGGTAGAGAATTCAGGAGCCAAGCTTTCGTACACTACTGAAATTAAGTTGGTGTTAATATGAACTAGGGTGTTATGAATTAGGATGTTAATCTTAATTCCCAGAGCAACCACTAATAATTTAAAATGGTACAGTAGAAAGTGTATTTCACAGGCCCGTGCTAGGAGCCAGGAATCAGAGGCGTCTAAGACAGACACTGTCTCTGCTCCAGTTGTATCTAGTTTAGTGATACACAACACACACGATACAGGGACCCAAACCAAGCACGTTACAATGCACGCTGGACCCTTTGATCTGACGCAAGGGCTTGGACAGATTCACCGAGAGGGGTGCCTCAGGTGACCTTGGAGGTCCCTGGGAGCAGCTGATATCGAGACCTGGAGGCTGGAAAGTCATAGGAAGGGGCATCTTGTGCAGAGTAAAGAGCGAGTCCAGAGAACTTTCTGGTTCTGGGAACTGACCAAGGCCAGTGACTACAACAGTCAGGGTGGCAGGTGGGGTTGAGTGAAGCAGCAAAATCATGTAGGCCTTGGGAGTAGGAAGTTTGGACTTCCTACTTTGGACTTGAATTACTACTGAAGGATTTTTAAGAGAGCAACATGATACAATTTAGGTCTTCAACAAGTTGTCCTTGGCTGCAGTGTATATGGTCTGCAGGGTGTGCTACTGCAGACCAGGATGCAGTGGAAACAGAAAAGTGGACAAGACACAAGGTACATTTTTTTTATTATTATTATTATTATTTTTGTCTTTTTTCGTGACCAGCAACGGATCGCAACCCTCAGTGTCGCACCCGTACCGGACCGGGACCGGCCACGGGATCGCAACCCTCGGTGTTGCTCCCGCCCCTCGCTCAGCCAGTGAGCGGCCAGTCTGTATGTTGGATCCAAACCCTTGGCGGGAGCGCCACCGTGCTTCCCAAGTGGTGCACTATAGCAGTGCGCCACTGGGCCGGCCCCCACAAGGTACATTTTTGAAGGCAGGGCCCTTAGGATTCGTTGATGGCCTGGATGGCAGAGGGGTCCCATAATGGGGGAAGATATAAGTTGGCTCCCAAGTTTCTCGCTTTAGTACCTAGTGGAAAATGTTGTCCTTTCCTGAAACATTATGTCTAGGGGAGGGAGGACCAGGTTTTTAAGGAAAATCAAGAATTGAATTTCAAGTCCAAGCCTGTCTGCATTACCAATGACAGAGGGTACCAAGCAGCAGCACCCCTCCTTGTCAGAAGCCGTTAAGATTAGATGGCCTCAGGAAGTAACTACAGGTCAACCAGCATCACAAGGCACAAGATAAGTCTGGAGCCTAAAGAGGTCAGGGCAGGGGATGGCAATTTTGGACTCTTTAGGCAACATACAGTTAAAGCTATGACTGGATGAAATCAAGGAAGAGGCTGTACATAGGAGGTTTGACAGAGAATAGCCAAGGAGACCATAGCACCGAGAGCGAGCTGGGAGAACTGGGAGCACTGGTGTCATGAAACAGACAGGAGGCAGTCAGTGCCCAGTGATCAACAGTGTGGAAACCAGCAAGTGTCTGCTGGACGGGCTGAACACTTCAAGCAAGGGTACCGTCCGTGAGCCAGCGGGAGACGTCAGACCACGGAGGGCTAAGAGTAGATGGACAGCTTAGTCGCAGCAAACACCTATCACATTAATTTTAATTTGTAATGTGATTTTATAATTTGTACTTATTTTGAAATGTAACTGAGCTGCAAAACAGTTTTGAATATATACCTAGTTTTATATTTACACTTACGGTATTTAAATGAATCTATGTCTACATTTATGTACCCCTAAGAAAAACATTACCTTTTACAACACCATGTTTTCTTATTGTCAGACTCACTTCTATTTCAGAAGTGTCAAAACGTAAAAAAAAGTCTTAGTGATGAAATACAGTATTTAAATAACAAAAAGAATTTAACTCAAACCTGGTGGTTGCAAAAATTTCTTTGGAAGCTCAGATGCCACATTAGCTTACAGGACACAAAATCAATCTGGTAACTGCTGCTGCTTTTAGCCATGGGACCTTAAAAAATCACCTAAAACATCTAAGATGACTTTTTTTCCAGTGTAAATAGGGTGCCGCCAAGTTCACAAGGCAATTGTGAAGCAAACTAGAACACGAACACATCATAGATATTACTGACCACCTCCAGTCATCATCTTGGGTAACGAGCCCCTCACTGAAAGTCCTGGGCCTACCCCGAAGTTTGGAACATGTATCATCCACCAAATAAATCAATCAACTGACTGGCGGTGGGATCACTGCCCTGGGCAGTAGGACTGGGCCCACATGTGGCATTCGTAAAGTTCAACATACGGCATGAGCTCTACAGGGCTGCAAATTGCTCTGTTCTGTTCAAAGCACTTAGAACATTGTCAGGCACATAGCAGGTACTCAGTAAACATTTGAAGGAATGATACTATGCAACCTGCAATTAGGAAATCCAGTCCTTGAAGGGCCACTCCAGGGAGTTAAGTTTCTAGTACAGATGTGTTGCTGAAAGTTTCCATTTACATAAAACAACTTTCAGATGAAAAAGTTGACTGTATGAACTGGATTCAGATTTAATGTAGTCCCATAAATTTAGTACCCATACATTTTTAGTCCTAAGAATAAAACCTGTTAATAAGTAACAATACTCTGTTGTCAAAATTTACTTTATTTAAAAAGTGAGTATTTGGGGCCGGCCCGGTGGCACACTGGATAAGTGTGCCGCTTGGGAAGCGCGGCAGCGCTCCCGCCCGAGGGTTCGGATCCCACATACAGACCGGTTCCCGCTCACTGGCTGAGCGAGGCGCGGGAGCAATGCCGAGGGTTGCAATCCCGTTGCCGGTCCCCGGTACGGGGGCAACACTGAGGGTTGCGATCCGTTGCCGGACACGGAAAAAAGATAAAAGACAAAAAAAAAAAAAAAGGGAGTATTTGGGGGAGATCTTCTAAGGCTTGAATTTCATCCTGGAATGAAGAATGAGACAAAAATACTTAAAAGGCCCCAAATAATGGCATGTTCTAAGAACAGAATTTTTCATTAAAAAAATAAATTGGGGGGGGGGGATTAACCTTTTTTTTTTAAAAACTAAATCATTAGGAAAATATCTCACAGCCTTGAAACAGCAAACAGACAAGCTATATTATCATTTCAAGTAATAAGTTGGTAAAAAGATGACAAGGTCCTTATCAACGTGATAAGGTGCCATGCTGGGGCAGAAACATTACATACTGCAAAGGCCCTAGGTGAAGATGGTATTGGGTAATGGCGGGCTGCCCCTCCTCTGCTCTAAAGGAGTCACAGCCTGTTCCAGCTCACACTGCTTACTTTTGATCTCTTCACTTTTCCTGTCGCCTGGGGATCGTCTCAGTAGGGCTCTGTTAATCCAGGAGGCTAAGTAAGTGATGTTGGGTTTTGGATTCTGTCATTCCATTCTGTTCTATGAAAATCAAGTTTTTCGGGCCAAGCCTGTGGCGCACTCGGGAGAGTGCGGCGCTGGGAGCGCAGCAGTGCTCCCGCCGCGGGTTCGGATCCTATATAGGGATGACTGGTGTGCTCACAGCGCTCACTGGCTGAGCGCGGTGCGGCCGGTCTCAAAAAAGGACAAAAAAAAAAAAAAAAGAAAATCAAGTTTTTCCAAATCCAGTACTTCACAACTCTTAGGTAGCCAAGTTGGTCTTTAGTGTTCATCACTGATACTGCTACCTGTCACAGTCAAAAGCCCCTTCCCTGTCACTCCACTGCAGACAGCCTCAGAGCCCATCAAGCAATGAGAGGGAAGCTTCCTATACTCAGTGTGATGTCATCTCTCATGGGTTTTTGGTACTTTCATTAAAAATCAGTTACAAAGCAAAATTATATTTTATGAATAAAGTCAATGGTGACATTTGCTTAAATATTAAAAATGGCCCTGCAAAATTTTAACTGGGAAAAGGCATCAAAGTTTGACTCACAGACAAGGTGACAGCCACCGAGCAAATTCAATCGCCCTTTCCCTTCAGTGCTGCTCCTTGCAGAGAGGGAGACATGGAGTTGGTCTGAATGCACAACACTTACTGGGTAATACTCTCCTGTCCTTTGAACTACTGGATGTTTTGGAATGACAAGTAAGTCTATTTTCTAAATTATAACCTGTCTGATTTGGACATCAAGCTAAGAACGAGGAGGGACAAAAAGAGTCTCTTAATAGCTCCTTTTCTTCAACTAGCATGACACACAAACAAAAGGGTAACAAGTATGCTCTGCAAACTAACCACCACAGCCCTCCTACCATTAAGGTTTAGGGATTTTATGTAAAGGAAAGAATCTAATCAATACTGGGGAGTAACTCCCCTGCAGACCCCAAGGCCACTCAGCTTCAGCCACGTGTAATCCATGCCCCTCATCTGCCAGTCAGCGGAACTCAGCCCCGGGCTGCCGCCAGGGAGCCTCGCTCTAGTCAGCGGTGCCTGGGAGGGCTTGTGCACATCTCCTCCTGCAGCCGCGTCCTGCACTGGTTCCTGGAATTCAAGCCACAACCTTCCTGAAGGCCAACAAAGAAACTCTCAGGAGGACAAGGTTTTTCATCTTTAAAAGCCACATCAACCAGGGTAAAGGATTAAGGTTTGCAGCTATTTTATTTACAAGTATACATTTAACACAATGAAATAAACACTGATATATTGAAGCCTAGTTAATAGTAGTGTAACAATATGTATCATTTTGATGATTACATTATTTTAAACAACAAACTACACTGAAAAATTAATGCCAATAAAATTCTTGGTCATAATATTAAGAAATACAATATATAAATTGAAAATATGATTGCTTAAAATTTGAAAATGGAAGTGAACTCATTTGGACAGAGTCAGAGTTTAACATAATCTGAAGGGGGGAGAAAAAAAAGCTCTGACCCAAATGCTATCTTTCAGGCTAACAGAAGAAAAAAGAAGCATAGTTTTCTTAAAGGATAACGGGCAGTTTGCTTCTTCAGGTAGAACAGATTCCCAGTGTCCTCAGGTTTTGCAGCAGAATCACATCACTGAGCACGAAGACTTTCCTTGTGAAGCTGCCCCATCAATTTTTTCTGCCTCCAAAATTATCCTTCTAAAAACATCAACAGCAGTCTGAACAAGAAAAAAAAAAAAAGTGTTAGTTTTAAAGCAGAGCCCTGGGCACCACCACGTGATCTTCTCCAACATCAAGCCAGCAGAATTCTTGGTATTTCCAATCCACAAACCATCTGTGCAACACCCCGGCCTCTCAGACCCAAGGCCTTCTCTTCTCTAGCGACCGTCTTCCCAACCTCAACCTCTCAGGCTCACAGGCCAACTCTACTGGTCCTTCACAACAAGGAGTCACTGTCACTCAGGCAGGGGCAGGAAATCATCTCACGCTGAAAGACGATGAGACTTGTCAGTGCCTATCCTTTACATGTAGCCTTTGTGATCACAAAAAAACGGCCCTGTCCTCAAACAGGCAGTGCACCTTGGTCCTGTCGTTACCAGCAACCATCCCTCCTCCATCACCCCAATTTCAAGTAGGTCCCCATCGCGTCTCCCTAGCTCATTTTCTTTTGACATCCTGAAGGCAACAATTCTCAATCCCACAGGGACCTGGTTCGTTGACTCCACTACGTCTTCCCTGGAGCTTGACCACTTTTTGTTCTCACTTTTCTCCCCAGCCAGCTTAGACTCCACGGTCCACCACTGTGGTCACTGTACTCCAACTCCCCTCTCTACCCACTGTCCGCCTGCACGGTGCCTGCAGCTAATGCAGCCTGGGAAAAAAGCATCACCAACTGTTGACTTTCCACCCCCAACTGGAAACTTGCCATGGACCTTGAGGACTGCCCAGCAACCCAACTACGTTCCCCTAGTCTCCTCACACCCAGAGGAGGATTCATGCATTGTCCTTTCTCCTCAAATTTCCCCCCATTCTCACACTCCACTGAAAACCTTGTTTTACAGTTCACTGGAAAACAGAAGCCGCATTCATAAGAGAACGCGATATACCCCATCCACCAAACTGACCCATCCACTGGAATCCGGGCCCACATACCCTGCCTTCTGTGCTGTTAGTATAAATGAGGTATCTGTATTCCTGATTAATCTAAAGCCAACCCCAGGTCCCATCCCTCTTGTCTAATCGAGGTCACTGTCTTAGGATCACCCGATTACCAGAAAGCATTGTGTGGAGGAAAAACAACTAGATTTGGGTTAGATTTAAAATTTAGTCCTTCTTCTTCTTAAGGTATAGAGTGATCTTTAAATATTTAACCTCTTTGGATATTAACTATCCAGGGATAGCTGGGTTGACTGATAACATCCTAGATACAAAAACACCATGCTGAACACTATGGAGAATATAAAGGCAAATGACGCTGTCTCAGATCTCAGAATGAATTAAGGGGGTAAGAGAGAAGAAACTACTGCTCATTTCAGCTGGATGAATGAAAAAGGGGTCGAGGAGAAGATGAAATCTAAGCAGAGCGCAAAGGACCAGGGAAGAGGCAGGGCAGGGAGAAGATGCCAGCCCCAACCTGGAGTCAGCCACCCACACCCACACCAGACTGGACTTTCCTTGGACATATAAAAACCTATTAATCTTATCTGAGGATCAACCAAGACCACGTTGAAAACACTTTGAAAACTGTAAAACGCCATATGAATGTAAGTAGAAAATTACAGAAAGGATATTTTAAGACAGAAGAGCATGAAGAAAGGTGAGGCTTTTTCAAAGTGCCCAGTATGCTGAAGGAAGTGGGAATGGTTGGTGGGACTGAAAAGAGGGATGTAGTGAGAGAAGAAACTAGAAAGTACAAATCATGCACTGCACTTAATACGACACTAAGGGCTTTGAGCCTTGTTTTACAGACAATTGGCATCCATTGACAGTTTCTAAGCAGGGGGCGACATCATCTGATTTGCAGCTTTAGAAAGTTAAGGACAGCAAAGAGAACTATATTGGTGAGAAAACGAAGGCGGAAGAAATCAGCTTGGATGCCATAGGTCTGGGAGAATGAACACGAGTCTAAATTAAAGCAATTGAAAAAAAGGAAAAAACAGTGATGTGAAGTCTTCTGGAACAGGATTTACACACTTCCTAGGACATGCCTTTAAAGGAACATCTGCAGGACTGAAATTGGTAAAAAAATACCTGTAAAATGGATCTTAATCATTTCTATGTTAAAAGTAATATGTACATCTGACTCAGTTTCACCCTACAGAGGGGGAGGTATAGCTACAAAATTAGTGTCAGAGTGCTTTAAGATAATTTTTGCTTTTTTTTTTTTTTACTATGTCTGGATTTTATCTCTGTACCAGACTTTGATACAAAACAAAAACAATACACTTGTGTGTTCACAAATAGTATTTCCTTTACTACTAATTTCTGTTTATCCTACAAATATTCTAGATCCCATCATAAGTAGAATACTGACTGCATTTATAAAAACAAAAGCAGTGTGATGTGGAGTATACCAACATTTATAAAGCAAATGTACTTCACAGGGCCTAGTTTCCAAAGCCCTGTAGTTTCAGGTTTAACCTAACTTTTTAAAATTACGTATAGAAATATTAAGCTTGCAAAGGACAGGAAACTTTCTCCTGGCTGAAGTCTCTGTTGTGGATATAGAATCGTAACACAGCAAAGTTGCTGGCTCTCAAGGACAGATGCCCTTGAGAGCAGGTTAACCTACCAATTGTTATGTAAAAACACTGAGGAAACTGCTGCTGGAAAACAGTATTTGCTAAGAACAAGCTTTTGATGGTGGATCGACTTAACCTTTTGCAAATTGCATTATGTGATGTCACTTTGCTTATTTCAATGACTTTACCAGTTTTCCATTTGTTAGCCATAATTCTGCTGATATTCTTGTGTTTTTGTAATGGTTAAATCAACTGAATTTTCTTGTAAGACTTCCTCGTCTTTACAGTAAAAGGGAGAGGCCAACTTTGAAGGGGGCTGACACATTCAGTTTTGCCCCTCCTAATGAGGAAATTACTGAAGTGCATTCTGTCCAGGCCTCAATGCATACATAGTGCTTGAGTGATCGCATACGTGTGTGTGCGTGCGTGTGCAACCCTTGGCTTGGTGTCGCCTGCACCGCGCTCAGCCAGTGAGCGCACTGGCCATCCCTATATGGGATCAGAACCCTCGGCCTTGGCACTGCCGCTGCGCTCCCAGCGCCGTACTCTCCCGAGTGAGCCACGGGGTCGGCCTGTAATCGCATACTCGGAAAAGAGGTGTAACAGTGTCTTCCTAAAACAACCCAAAGTTTGGAATTAGGATAGAAGGCTAAAAATAAAACAGGAGTGACAGAGCTCAAATGCTCACTAAGAAGAACATGTACTTACAACTGATGAGGATGCAGCACAAAAGGCGTTAAATAAATAAATACGCACCTGATTTTCTTTAGCAGAAGATTCCAAAAAAGCTGCATTCCAAGATTCTGCCAAAGCCTTCCCTTCTTCATAACTGATCACCCTAAAGGAAAAAGGAAATTCTTTTTTTTTTTTCCTTTTTGTCTTTTTTCGTGACCGACCACGGGATCGCAACCCTCGGTGTTGCTCCCGCCCCTCGCTCCGCCAGTGAGTGGCCGGTCTGTATGTGGGATCCGAACCCTCGGCGGGAGCGCCACAGCGCTTCCCAAGCCGCGCACTATAGCAGTGTGCCACTAGGCCGGCCCGGAAAAAGGAAATTCTAATTAAAGTACTTTGCTCTTTATTACATAAAACACGTATAATTGATTTGTGAAACAAGCTCTACTTGGATCAATTTCTCCTCAGGAAGCAGAACCATGCTCTGCTCAACATTATCATCAAGAACACAACAGGAGCAGGCCGGCCCATGGCTCACTCGGGAGAGTGTGGTGCTGATAACACCAAGGCCCCGGGTTCGGATCCTATATAGGGATGGCCGGTTTGCTCACTGGCTGAGCGTGGTGCTGACAACACCAAGTCAAGGGTTAAGATCCCCTTACCGGTCATCTTTAAAAAAAAAAAAAAAAAAAAAAGAACGTAACAGGAGCATTTTAATTATGCCCAAGCTGGGGAACAGAATAGACATGCCTTATGGGGTTATCTATGCTCCAGCAAGCTCCTACAGTTCAGAGAAACATGACTGTATTTTCCACTACTCCAATATCTGTAACAATTGACTATTTTATAGTGAGGTTTTAAGCACCCATGGCCAGGGGAAATACCAAAAGGGCTCACAGCTCAATTCTGCTGTGCACAGGTGCAAGGGTCTCTTCCTGTCTGACATGAAGCTCCACAGGCACGAGGTCTCTGCCTCCCTTGCTCATCACTGTAACCCCAGCCCTGGTACTAAAAAAATACTTGCTGAATAAACAAGTGCTACCTTTGTCTTTTTAGATTTTGCCTTATGCAAAATGGTAGATAATGTAAAGATAATTTTCTATAAGTTTGTTCTCAGTGTGAGATTTATTTTGCAGTTTTGCTATGCACAACTGCAACATTTCCTAACAGACGGAAATGCTACAGCTAAAAATATTCTTGCCATCAGAATAATTAAAAATGGCATTTCAGTGACTAAATCACCTTAGACTTGATTTTATAAACTGGTAATGATTTAAAAGCTACATACCTTTCCATGTGCAGGTCTTTCTTATTCCCAACCAACATAATAGGTATTCTATTTATAAAGGGAAAAAATCCAAAATAAACTAGTCAGTGCCAGATTTTATTGCTCCAAGATGCTATGACAATGAGTTTATCTAACACAAAGAGATAAAATGTAGTACTACTTACTGCACTTTCCCCACCATGTCCAACAATTTGCCATGGATAACTTTAATCACTTCAAAACTAAAAAACAAGAAGTATGAAGTCAGACATCCACTTTAATGTTGAAGTTTTTCAATGCATGCTATGTGACATTAAGAGCAGCAAAAAATAAAATGCACACACCATTTTAACAAACTGAACACAAGAATTCTTTTACTTTTTCCTACCAATCTTTTCCACATGTGAATTTCTGACACTCAGTAACCCTTACTGAGAATATCTAAAGTGAAACAGGTGAGAAATTTAAATAAAAAAGTCTAACACCAAGCTGACAAACCACATAAACACAAATTTTAACCTCCCAACTCATCCAGCAAAGAACGAACTGTGTAAATTAATATGTGAAGAACTCTTCTTAGCTAGTGTGCCCTACCCAGCCCTGTTCCTCTATTCTTTTCTAGGTGTATGCATTCTCTGGGAGATGCCAATCTTACTTGGCTTTGAATCCAATCAATATGCTGATGATTCTAGGTTGGAGTTGGCTCTCACTAGCATGGGCATCTGAGAGCCAAGTTTGCACTCAAGGCTGTCACAATGATAATGTGAAATCTGCCACAATGGGATCACTTATACCACTGACTACTCACCCCAAAAGCTCCTTGTAAACATGTGCCAGCACAACACTGGCTCTACCTTCAAAGCCTACCAGAATCTGGCTGCTTCTCACTCCCTCCTCCACTGCTGCCACTTAGCCTGAACCTCCCTTATGTCCACCTACATCACCACAATAGCCCCAAGCCCTTCCCCTCCGGCTGCAGCGTGCCTTGTTCAACATCGTCCGAAAGGGACCCATCTCTACTCTGTACAAATGATGCCCACACCCTGACCCCCGACTCCATTTCTTGCCCCTCCCCCTGACATGCACTCTGCTCCTAGCTGCCCTGGCCTCCTCACTGTTCTTCTAATACTGCCAGAGCCTCTGCTGTTGCTTTCCTTATGCCTGGAATGCTCTTCTTCCCCTAGGAATCCCTGAACAAATGTGCTCCCTCTCTCAAGTCTCTACTTGAATGTCACTTCTTAGACCTCTTCTGTTTATTCTACGTGAATTTACAAATTGCCTCCATATTTCTTATCCCCTTCCCTGACTTATTTTTCTTGTTAGCATTATCACAGACATCTTATTTCACATATTTATCTTTTTATTGTTTGTCTCCCACGCCAAAAACATAAGCTCCACAAGGCAGGGATTTGTCTGCTTTGTTCACTGTTGTATTACAAGCTTTAGAGCAAGTAAGCTTGTTGAATGAATTATACACTATGCTATTTTAAACTAGTTGTTCTGATAAAAATTAAACTTAGCTCCCTACCCCCCACAAGTTCACCATGGGTCAACAATGGGATATGGGTGTCCCAAGCACCTTAGGATGCGTTACAAAACAAGTCCCTTAGCATGTGCTGTATCCACCTACATTTAAAATAGCATGGCTGCTTGGGAAGAAATATGGTAACCAGTCACATGAGAAGCAGCTGGAAGAAGTGGGATCATGTGGTAGGCAGGTTGGGAGCTGGCTCCCAGAGCTCCATGCACTTCCGGTAGCCACACCCTTGTATAATCTCCCTGAGTGAGGCTAGACCTAGCGATTCACTTCTAATGAACAAAACATAGCAAAAATGGTGGGAGGTCACCTCAGGGATTAGGTTTTTTTTTTTTTTTTTTCCCAAAAGATGACCGGTAAGGGGATCTTAACCCTTGACTTGGTGTTGTCAGCACCACGCTCAGCCAGTGAGCGAACCGGCCATCCCTATGTGGGATCCGAACCCGGGTCCTTGGTGTTATTAGCACCGCACTCTACCGAGTGAGCCACGGGCCGGCCCAGGGATTAGGTTTTAAAAGACTGTGACTTCCATCTTGCTGGAAATTCTCTGACTCTTCTTTTGTGCTTGCCATGACGAAGAGCCACCTGGCAAAGAACTGGGGGCAGCCTCTGGCCAGTGAGGAACTGCCAACCTCAGTCCAACAACTCTTAAAGAACTAAATCCTGACAAGAGCCACATGAAAGAGCTTGAAAACATCCTTCCCCAAACAAGCTTTCAGATGGGACCACAGCCCCAGCTGACATCTCAATTGCAGGCCACAAGAGACCCTGAAGCAGAGGACCCAGCTAAACCATGCCCAGATTCCTGACCCACAGAAACTATGAGATCACAAATGTGGATTGTTTTAAGCTACTAATTTGGGGGTCATTCTTTATGCAGCAATAGATAGCTAACAGAGTTTCACTTAAAAGCAATTAATCTCTACTACTGTCTCCAAATATTTTCATTTTAATCATGTAAAAGCAAAACAACATGGGTTCTGTGTAAGTCTAACAGACTACATTAGGACCAATGGGTGGATATCAGGAGGGCAAATTTATATTCTATTTTAGAAAGAGCAGAGTTTCTCTAAAACAGCAAAGAGCTCTCTTAGAATGAACTGAAATGTTTAAAGCAAGCCTGGAAGAAATCCAAGGTCCATTCCACCAAAGTTCTATGTATTCATTTATTCTCACAAAAGTATACTAATAAAAGTTTAACATGCACAATAGAATCTCTCAGCTGACCTCTACTTAAATGACTTGCTAGACTGACAACAGTTTGAATGGTCGAAGCCAGCAGTTTTCAAATCATTGGTCACTACCCAGAATTAAGATGTATTATCAATTTAGTGAGTTTTTTAAAGTACCATTTTAAAAAAGATGAAATAGTGCATTACATATAAGAAAGGTAACAGTTATATAACAATTATTTACAGAATATTTATACTATATTAGGTATTATAAGTAATCCAGAGATGATTTAAAGTAAAAGGGAGAATGTGCATAGGCTACATACAAATACTATGTCATTTTATATCAGGGACCTGAGCATCTGTGGATTTTGGTATCCGCAGGGGTGGGGGTGGGGATCCTGGAACCAATCCCCCGCAGATATGCAGGGACAACTAGGTCAGCTTCATTTGTTCCCAAACCTGTTTATGCCAGTTAAATTCATCATAAAGTCATAATTTAATTTATAAACTTCTGAAAGATGAGGATAGATAGTTTTTGTTTCTCTGAAAACTGAAAGTTGAATACTGTGGATTGATCTGCTAAAAACACTGCTATGCTCCTTAATAAGGTGTGCCAAAAGAACTGAAAAAGACTGGTGGGAAAAATCACACAAATCTGTAAATAGCTGAGACTGAGACTGTCTCACGAGTATCTCACTCTACAGAAACTGAACTGGAAATATAGCTGACGCAATATGGGTATAGGTGACACAAGAAAGGGGGAGAATACCAATGAGCAAACCCATATTCAAAGATCATTGATGGGGCTGGCCCGGTGGCGCACTGGAGAGTGCGCGGCTTGGGAGTGTGGCGGCGCTCCTGCCGAGGGTTCGGATCCCATGTGGAGACCGGTTCCTGCTCACTGGCTGAGCGTGGTGTGGGCGCAACACCGAGGGTTGCGATCCCGTTGCCGGTCCCCGGTGCGGGCGTGACACCGAGGGTTGCAATCCCGTTGCCGGTCAGTAAAAAAGACAAAAAGGGGGGGAAAAAAAGACCATTGATGACCAAGGCCCTATTTCAGAAGATTAGTGACCGAATGCATATTTATGCTATAAAAGAAAACACTGGAGATTCATATCACCTTTTTGATTCTTTCCATTAACCAATGTTTTTAAGTAACTCTCCTGGACTGCCTCAGACAAGAGAGGTCTTCCCCTCTATCAACATGCCTAATTTATAGCAGACAAACTGAGGTACTGCAAAGTAAATGACTTGTCTGAAACTGTTAGTGGGCATAAACGAAAACCCAAATGTTCCATCTCTCAAATCTGAGTTCTTTTTCCATTTCTAGAATGTGTTTTTTGCTTTATGTAGTTGTCAGAGGGAACAATTCTACAGGGGCTTTATGATACAAAGGAATAATCAAAGACTTCTGTTTTATATCACAAAATAGTGAACAATGGTCATAATTCAGATAGAGGCTAAATTCGATAAAAAAGAGTAGGTAGTTCTTTTTTTTTTTTTTCCTTTTTGTCTTTTTTACTGACCGGTAACGGGATCGCAACCCTCGGTGTCGCGCCTGCACCACGCTCAGCCAGTGAGCGGGAACCGGTCTCCACATGGGATCCGAACCCTCGGCGGAAGCACCACTGCGCTCCCAGGCGGCGCACTCTCCAGTGCGCCACCAGGCTGGCCCAAAAAGAGTAGGTAGTTCTAATCAAATTGGCTTACTGAGAAAGTTTTAGTAACATATTTTTTGGATATTCATAAATATTTGTGTATTCAGCATATAGGTTTCTAAAAATCAAAACAAAACACTGCTCCTCCCTTACTCCCTTCATGTTTCAGATTTATTGAGAATACTCATTAAATTTAGACCAAAGCAAAACACACTTATTTCAGTAAGGAAAAACGTGTTCATAACTTGCAAAGGTACTACACTGAGATGACATAGCAAGGTTTTTGTCCCCTGCTTTGCATTAGACCATAGTTTTCTCAAATATATAAGGTTCTTGCTGAGCAAGTTTTCATATATTATTTTGGTGGCTGGCCAGTACAGGGATCAAATGCTGGACCTTGGTGTTATTAGTACCACTCTAGCCAACAGAGCTAACTGGTTAGCTAGTTTCCATACTTTTAAATGTAGCTTAATGTATTTTTCAACTTGATTCTTTTTTTTTTTCTAAAGATGACCAGTAAGGGGATCTTAACCCTTGACTTGGTGTTGTCAGCACCACGCTCACCCAGTGAGCAAACTGGCCATCCCTATATGGGACCCGAACCAGGGGCCTTGGTGTTATCAGCACCGCACTCTCCCGAGTGAGCCACGGGCCGGCCCTCAACTTGATTCTTGAATGTCATCTAATCTCTCCCCACCAAAAAAAGAGATTAAAAAAAGGAATCAATCGGATGCACTAAGAAAATTTTCAACCCATTACTTTAATTCTTTGGAGTAACAATTTGTAAAGTAACCAATATTAATTATTTCCTAAAAATCACATAGAATAAAATTATACTTACTAATAATGAAAAAAAGGTTTAAATAGTGTTTTTCAAGTAAATCAGTGAAATAATGGGAAATCATAAACAAATCTGATCTCACAGCACTTATCAGATCCTTAGAATCTACTAAGCAAATGAGAACTGAACATGTTATGTGTGCAATTTTAAAAATATACTATCAAAATTAGGAAAATATTTGTAATCAATATAACAAAAAGGACTAATAGTTTTACTATTTAATGTGCTCCTGTAAGTCAATAAGAAAACTATCAAGTCCCCAAGTAATAAGCAGGCAGTGGTTTTATGCATAAAATCCAACCCAAGCATTGCTTTAGTGACAAAACTATAAATACATAAATACATCAAGGCTAACCAGTTAGCTTAGTTTGTTAGAGCATGGTGCTGATAACACCAAGGTCCAAGATTTGATCCCTGTACCAGACAGCTGCCAATAAACAAACATCAGAGAGGTAAACAGGTATCCTTCTATAATAGAACATGGGGTATTATATAGCTATTTACTGTTTTCAAACAGTAGGTAATGTGGGAAAATGTATATTATATGTTAAGTAAAAATAAAAAAACCATAAAAAATATAAAACAGCATTCAGAGAGCAAATGTGTTAAAACAATCCAGGCAGAATAAAATAAAGACCAGAAAGAAACATAACAAAATATTCACAGTATCCATGCCTGGGCAATTAAATTGAGAGTGATTCTCCTCATCCTCCCCCTTGCTCTCTCTTCTTCACATTTCCCCAATTTTCTGTAAGGAACATGTGGTTCTGGTACTCGGTTTTGATTTAGGTATAAGCTTTCTCAGGGAATGGCAGTATGGGATCTGTTAATAAGAAAGGCCACAGTACTTAAAACACTTTATAGCTAGACTTTAACACCTAAAGTATGCTTCCCTGCCATGGAGAAAAATGTTAAATAAAACATTCACAGAGCAGCAGACTGCAATTTCATTGGCAGTAGAGTGTGTAGTGGTGAGGAGCCTACACACTGTCCAATACGGCAGACACCAGCCACATGTGGCTACTGAGCACCTGAAAATGTGGCCAGTACAACCAAGGCACTGCATTTTAAATTTTGCTTAATTTAAATGGCCACACACAGAACAGAGACAGAACATTTCCGTCACTACAGTAAGTTCTATTGGACAGTGCTGGCCCTGTTTGTGGAATCTGAATATTCCACAATATAAATGCCAGCTCCGTCACATGCCACCTATAAAATCCTGTCTTATGTAAAAGTTATTTTACCTGCTAGTCACTTAGTTTCTTTCTATGTAAAGTGGGAAACAAAATAATGAAGGATTGTTTAGAGTAACAATTAAATGAAGTAATGTATTATGCAGGCAGAGAGCACAGCAAACTCTCTAACATATCATATACACTCAATAGATGCTATATATTTCTGCTGTAGACTGGATGCCCCTCCAACCTCACTGAGGCTTAATTCCCAGTGTTAACTGTTGAGGATGGGAAATTCTATTATGGTAATTGAAAGGTGGGTCCTTGAAGACATATGATTGTAGGAACATGCCTAGTGAATAGATTAAAAATAGTGGTCATGGGCATGATTCTGAGGCCTTTAAAAGGAGAGTGAGTGACGAATTCTCTCTCTGCTTTGCCATTTTCTGCCATATGAGACCCCTGCATTGCTGTAAAGCCACCACCAAACCCTTCACCAAATGCATCCCCTGGACTTTGGCCTTTCCTGCCTCTGAAATGGTAAGCAATAAATTTCATTTTCTTTATAAATTACTCAGGTTCCAAATATTTTGTTATAAGCAACAGAAATGGACTAATACTGAAAACTGGTACCAGAGAAGTGGGGTGTGGCTTATAACAAATAACTGAAAATGTGGACGTGGCTTTGGAACTGGGTGTTAGGCAAAGGTTGGAAGAATCTGGAGGACTCAAAAGAAGACAGAAAGACAAAGGACAGTTCTGAACATCTTAGAAAAAACTAGTTACGTGGTGGTGAGCAGAATGTTGATAGAAATAAGTACAGTAAAGGCCATTCTGAGAAGATCTCAGATATAAATGAGAAGGGACTTACTGGAAACTGGGGCAAAGATCACCCTTGCTATGAACTGGCAAGGAACTTGGCTGCATTCTGTTCATGCCCCAAAATTTTATGGAATGTGGAACTTCAGAGTATTTGGTGGAAGAAATTTCTAAGCAACAAAACATTCAGGAAGCTGCATGGCTACTTGCAACAGCCTATGCTGAGTTATGGCAGAAAAGGCATGACATAAAACCAGAATATATAATTAAAAGAGAAGCAGAGTGCAAAGATTTGGTAAATTTGAAGCCTGTCCATGTGGTAGAGAAGCAGAGAGCAGTTTTCAGGAGAACACTTCAATGGTATACGACCATTAGCTAAAGAGATTAATGCAGACGAAAGGGATGGTCAAGAGAAGGGAAAAAACACCTTGAAGACATTTCAGAGATCTTGAGGGCTGCGTCTTCCATTACAGGCCCAGAGGCCTCGGGAGACAGAATGGTCTCGAGGAACAGGCCCTAGGCACCCTCCAAGGGCTTGCTACCCAGGGCCTCCTCGGGATGTTGCTCCCCATACCAGCACCCCAGCTGCTTTGGCTACTCTAGCTGTGGCTAAATCAGCCCCAGGAATGGCTTTGAAAATACAAGCCAAAAGCCTTGGCAGTGTCCACGTGGTGTTAGGTCTGCAGGCTCAGAGAATGCAAGAGCTGTGGAAGCTTGGGAGCCTCCACCCCAATTTCAAGGGATGTATGGAAAAGGCTGGGGGTGCAGGAAGATATTGGTCACAGGGGCGGACTCACCACACAGAGTCTTTGCTAGCACGGTGCCAAGAGAAAATGTGGGGTTGGAGTTGCAGCAGAAAAACTCCACCAAGGCCTGGCCTAGTGGTGCTGTGAGGGCAGGACGACCATGGAGACCCCAGAATTGTAGAGCTATCAGTGTGCAATGCCAGCCTGGGAGAGCTAAAGTGTGGCCTGAGACCGCAAAGACCACAGGAGTGGAGCTGCCCAAGGACGTGGGGACCCAACCCCCTACATCAGCATGCAGAGGATGTCACTCATGGAGTCAAGGTACATAATTCTCCAGCTCTAAAATTTTTGTTTGTTTGTTTTTTGTTTTTTTTCTTTTGTGTGACCGGTAAGGGGAACGCAACTGCACCGTGCTCAGCCAGTGAGCGCACAGGCCATCCCTATGTAGGATCCGAACCCGCGGTGGGAGCGCTGCTCCGCTCCGCTGCACTCTCCCGAGTAAGCCACGGGGTTGGCCCTCCGGCTCTAAAATTTAATGTCTGTCCTGCTGAGTTTTGGACTTTTTGGGACCTGATACTCCTTTCTTTTGGCCTATTTCTCCCTTTTTGAACAGGAATATGCACCCTGTGCTTGTCCCATCATTGTACCTTGGAGTAGATAACTTGCTTCAATTTCACAGATGGGACTTTGAGACTCTGGACTTTTGAGTTGAAAACAAGTTAAGACTTTGGGGAAAATATGAATGTATCTGTGTGTGAAAAGGACATGAGTTTTGGGGGGGTGAGAGGTGGAATGCTATAGACTGGATGCTCCTATGGTAACTGAAGGGTGGGGCCTCGAAGAGGTGATTGGATTGTAGGACTATGATGTAGTAGATGGACTAAAAATGGTGGCCATGGGCATGGTTCTGAGGGCTTTAAAAGAACAGCGAGTGAGGAATTTTCTCTCTCTACTCTGCCATATTCTGCCATGTGAGACCCCTGGGTTACTGTTGCTACCACCAAGGCCTTCACCAAATGTGCTCCCTGGACTTTGGACTTCCCAGCCTCTGAAATGGTAAGCAATAAACTTCATTTTCTTTATAAATTACCCAGTTCCAAATATTTTGTTATAAGCAACAGAAACAGACTATTACATCTATCAAACTTCCTCCAGTGGCACTGATATTTTCAAAGACTAGTGTCCAGAGGTCTGCTGCTACATACAGCTAGCTAGCTCTGTTCTAGTCACAGACACAGACCACTCCTTCCCATGACAATATATGCCATCCCCTGACAACAGAGATGACGTATGAAACGCACGGCTAGAGGAACCAAAATCCATTCTTACTAACAGAAACAGTGGCTCCAATTTTATGTAATAAAGTGAGACCCTATTACTGAAATAATTGTATTTCATAAATTCAAAGTATAAAATATTCAACAACCAAAATCACCAAATTGTACTAGAAAGTCTATTCCACATTAATGTGGTAAAAACACAAAGTAAAATCAATTTATGCATTTCCCATTTCAATTAGAAAAGTTCAGATCATGTTCGACTGCTATCTATCTAGGCAGCTTGAGGTAAGAAACAGTTTTTTATTCTGTCAGTGTAACAGAACATCTATTGGGACACATTTTCTCCCCTTTACTGCCTGGTTACTCCATGAGAAAATCACTAAAAAACATTTAGACCAATAATTAAGTCTAATTATACTACTAACTGCAGCATAATCTTTTAAAAGTGTTAATGCTGTCCATGTGTAGCAAATAAACTCAAGAAAGCAGCAGGAATCTTACCTTTTGATTGATGTAACAGAATACACAAGAATATAACCATTAATATCTATGGAGTATGTCTGAGGAAAGATAGAATATTCATCCTGTAGAAGAAAAAATAATTATGTTTGAATAGTATCTTCATACAGCATAATAATCTTTAGCCAAAGTTTTACAAACTACCTGGAGAAATCAAAGTAAACACAAAGTGGATTTCAATATTATTCCAGACACAAAGCCCCACACTGAAGATTTAAGACTTTTGGAGGTGAAAATGTACCTCAAACCGATATTCAAAAATGACTCTGATTGTTCTAAGACGTGAGGGGGAAGGCTGATGACCTCTAGAATTCCTGAATAAGGGATGGAAAGAATGCAGAAATGACTGGTTCTGTGGTCTCTTATCAAGGAACAAGCCCTACCACATTTCTTTTATGGATGAAAAATCAAGAATTTCTCACACCTAATGGGAAATCCTACTGGTTTACTCCATAATTCTGTATTTTCATATTTGAAACTGACCTGACCTCTGCATGTCAGTCACAATGGACCAAGCATCAATCTACAGGGTGGTAGAGGGTTGCCACCAGCATTCAAGAGTGAGAAGGGAAAAGAATCTAAACTCTAGACTTGGCTGGTCCGAAGGCAGTGAGTTATCTCAACTGATTGTTCTCAGTTACAGATCAAACTCCTCCTTCTACTCCTTCTCCCTTTCTCACTACTACCCTGACTAGTCTTAAAAAAACAACAACACTGTTGTCAATCTGTGCATCTAAACTTTCAGGGACCAAAAGAGTTATTTACTGAGGAACTTTAGGAATTAAAAACAAGGGCACACATTATAAAACAGTGTATTAGTCCCTAGTTTTATAAAGCAGCTTTAGGTAAGCAGGTTAATATAGCCTTTAAAAAAAAAAGGCAGCTTTATGAAACTTTGCTTTAGATACAGAATTATCAAAGCACATAAAAAGTTCTGATGTCAGTGCACTTTTCACTAGCACATGCCACTGTCTGGCACAAACATTTCACTCAGTTGAAATATAACTGTCAATATACCACATACCACAAGCACTACTACAGAAAAATCACATCTTGCCACCATTAGATCAAGTAGCAGTCTCTGTCAACTCTGCAAACCCACAGTATGGCTATAAATACTGTTTGTGATGGACCAGAATGACTGCCCTATGTATGATGAAACTCTTAAAAAAAAAAAAAAAAAAAGGTAAGTTTTAAGTTTTATTATCAATTCTTTGACATCATAAATAAGATTAAAAACAAAATTCCAAATGATTTTGGTCACCAGCTCAGCTACAGTAGGTTTAAAGTTCAAATTACCCTTTCCCTCAAGGGAAAATGAGGAAATAAAGAGTAATCATGGTTAAAAACAGTGTGCAAAAAACAACCACTAAGAAGACATAAGGAAAAGACCCCCAGCTGCAACAGCAACCAGAAAAAGACAAAATTCCTAAGCATAAACTTAATAAAATAAAAATATATGATCAAATGAAGAAAATCTTAAAAACACTCCCAAGAGACAAATGGAATAGTGTGCTGTGGTTTTAAGCAAAAATATGCAGAATCATAAGGATTTCCATTGATTAATACTAAATTAATATGTAAACCTAACACGATTCTAATAAAAAATATACTGTCTGAGAAACAATAGCAATTGCGAGGGCTGGTGAGTGAAAACAATAAAGCTACAGAAATTATTAAAATAATGCTGTACTGGCTCATAAATGGAACAGACTGAAAAATCTAAAAAGACCCAAATCGATATGGGAATTAGATATGTGGTAATACTGGCATTTCAAATAAAAAGGATAAAAAGTAACTCTCAGCAAAATGTATAGGGACAAGTGCAGAGCCTTCCAGGGGTGGATAGCTAAGTTTGATCTCTAATTCACACCTTTGAAAAAATGGATTCCAGATGAATCAAAGATTTAAAGATGAAAATTAAAACAATGTATATAGGTAGATGGGAGAATTAAAAAAAAATCTATCACTTTAAAAAAGTTTAATAAATTCAACTATGTGTAAATGAAAAAGTTCTTCATAGCTGAAAACCTCTCAAACAAAAACCATAAACAAAAGACAAATTGAAAACAAAACAAAACCCTGAATCTCAAATCATATACAAAATGCTAATTTTCTTCACATATTAAGGGGTCTCTCAAATCAACAAGCAAAGACCAACCATCCAATCGAAAAAATGGCAAGGTACATAGACAGGATAATCCACAGAAAAGGAAATACTAATGTCCTCAAGCATATAAAAATAGGATTAAAGCCCCCCATAATTATTAATACAGAGTAGGCAACTTTTTTTTTTTTTTTTGGATAGCTCACATCCCTACCCCAAAATTCATTTAGGGTACATGCTCTCATCTCAAAATTAAACTGAAACAAAACATTTCATGCAAACTAAAAATAATCCACTTGTATTTAACCTATGTTCATCACCATCCCTAGCTAGACAATTAAACCACAGTGATATATATATATATATATACTGATATAAACTACTAAGTAAATAGCACTTGCTATATTATATATTGCTATGCAGCAATTTACTGTGTGCAATTTTACTCCTAATGTGTGTAAGCTAGTGAACAAATTTACTATATGTTACTTTTAAAAGAATTTGCCCCTTAATCATCTTTTCTTACTACTATCACTCAACCCCAGAATTAGCCCAGTATGAATCCAATTTAAAAACAGCTCTTAGAGCAGTAAAGAGTTTTCATTCTCATCTAGTTTTCTATGGAATGAGGGTGGAACCATGTCAGGAGGAGATGTCTGTTTCACCATCATGAATTGTAAATACTAGCAAAATCTTTTATTTATTGTCTCCCAACTGTGAATATAACCTTTCAGAACTATTAGCTGCAATGAGAACAACTTATTCAAAGTAGATATATTTGGATATATTTTGTGCAAAAATTCTCTAAATACTATTATCCAGTACTAACAGAAACCAAAGGAGCAGGACAACAGAGCTGGTAATCTGGCCACTTGTCACAATGCACATCATGTACTCAACTCCCTAAAATTTGACTCTTTTCGTTTCATTATTTGAAACTATATCATTGAAACATTTAAAAATGTTTGATGCCCAGACGTACTTTAGAGCAAAACAGTACCTCAGAGGAACACATCTTCTATTTTGATAAGGAGAGCCAATATAAAGAAATTTTCTCTCTAGAGAAATGTTTTCAAGCTCTCCAATGATTGAGAACATCTTTTCTACCACCACACATGGCTGCTAACTTCACCTGAGTTAAAATGCCAGCATTGCTCTAGCTTCAGCAGCCTCAAAGAACGAACACATCCTCTCTAACTCCAACGTTAACAATCCTGTGAAGGTAGATACCGAACACCATTTTATAGATGAAGACTCTGAGGCACAGAAAGGTTCATTCACTTCTTAAGCCAGTCACTGGGTGAGAAAAGCCAGGATTCAAACCCAGGCAGTATGACTCCAGAGTGCACATTGCAAAAAATTATGAAATATTGGTTCTCCTACTGGACTGATATAGAATGTGTTTCTATAGTAATAAATACTACATGTAAGCAAATTTATCAGTTTATATCTTCACCCCCACTTTCCAGGAGCTTAAAGATTCCAAAGATATAAAAGCACTCCAAACTCTTGATAATGTCAGAGCCCCATATAAACGGAATGACTGTATTTCTTTGCACAGGACACTCTTGAGTTCACATCTGTTATCCCAGCATAATTATTGCTAGCACCCCCTCCCACTCTAAAAGTATCTAGGTTTAGGCAATAAATAAATATAAATATATAAATAAATACATCTTAACTGTAAAAGATGCAAACCCAAAGCAGCCAACACAATTTCCCACCCAAGAGGCTCTTCTACACCATTTTCCAAGACAAGCAGTGCGATGTGTGCCATCGTTCCCTGACAGAGGCTGCTACTGCTCCCCTTGTTCTATTAAGGCCCTAACTTACTGGCAAGTGGACAGGTACCCTGTAAAGGCCCAGGATGGCTCTGCTCTAAGAAAACCATCAAGATGTCTTATTACTAAAGCATATTATATCCACCTCTGGGTGGGAGTGTGTAGGGTGAATGAGGGAGGTACACCTTACAGTTCTGTGTACAAGCTCAAGGAGACATACACATTGATTTATTTTCTTCAAAGCTTCCAAAATGGAACTTCAGGGTTTCTCCAGTGCTAATATCACTCAATGCAGCTATTTTATTTTTTCACTAAGAGCTCACACTTTCCTTCTATGTTCATTCAAGACATAAAGCAGGGGCTGGCTGGTTAGGCCACTCGATTAAAGCATGGTGTCAGTGACATCAAGGTCAAGGGTTCGGATCCCCGTACTGGCCAGCTGCCAAGCAAACAAACAAAATAACCAACATAAAGCAGAGGGAATTCATCCCAAACCCACAGGACATGTCACATTATTCTAGGCCTACTCCAATTACCCCAGGTTCCAGAAAAAAGCCTCTATTTAACACAGCAGACGGGATTATACTATACTCAACCTTCTGGTAGTTGAAATCCCAGCTTCTTTACACTCCCCACCCTCCAGTGAACAGGGATAAATTCAGTAAAAGTGGGACTGGGTGCCACAGTAATGGGGCTGACAAAAGAGCTTTATTGTTTCCTTCAAGTACTCTCATTTCTTTCCCCCCAGCTTCCAATCAGTTCCTCTGGCAATGCATCCCACATATCACTGCTACATTAATTAACCTATGAATATCCTTGTTTTGGAGGTAAGTTAACCTTTGGCAATTAACTACTGTCTGGCAAGTCAAAGCAACATTCCTTAATCTAAGAATCACTCTCAAATCCATCCATCATATAATCTAACTTTATAAACTAAAGGCAGCACTCAAACTAGGTCTGGGACTCCAATCAAACTGGTGTTTTATGGCCCAAATCAAAACAAGGCCAACTCATTTCTGTCCTATACCCTTTTTTATGGCCTGCCCCTGGAAAAGACTTTTGCTCTTAATATAGGAAAATACATATTTCAAAGGAAGAGGAAGCACTAATATGATTCACAACAGAATTAACATTTAGAAAATGGAAAATCACAAATAAAGATTAAATGTTAACCCTCATAATGTTAAGAATATATTTAAAACAATTCCAAAGTAGAAAAACAAGTTATTTGAAAAACTGCCATAAATGTCTTAGAAGACAAAGTAGACAGCAGACAGCCTATTAATCTACAGTTACTGCATATATATAACACAAGGGGTTTTCTTGGCACAGCTGTTGTGTTTACGCATCAGTGCTAGGGCCAGGACTGTCAGATATGCTGGATGAGATTCGTAGATGCCAGAGGTCACTTACTTGCCCAGCTGTGTCTACAAGTTGAAGATGATATTCCTGTCCATTTACCGTGATCAACTTTGTGAAAGCTACAGGAGAAAAGGGAATTAAATATTAGTTAAAAAAAATTAACTCTAGACCACTTAGAGTTTAACAATGACCACCAATTAAGCACACAGTTCCTAGTAATCTCACAAAAAGGTCCAGTGAAACAAAAAAGAACAAATCTGTGAGTTGTACAGATTCCCACCTATTTAAGAAACACTTTGGCTGACTGACTATAATAAAGCTTGAATCCTGAATAAATAGGGTAAACCTTGAATCTTTTTCAAAGTAACTAAAACTGGGTAACAATTGCTACCCTATAATAATTTGAATGCTCTGTGGAGAATCCATCCTCTTGTGAAAAAGTGAAATATACTACTTAAAATCTGAGATCTAGAATGAACCAAAAACACAAGCAAAAACACAAAAGTTTTCCATTAAGTTTTAAAAAGTCTGGTGGCAGAGCACAAAGAGCTAGTATTAACTGAAATACTAAGAACTTTCAGTACATAAAAGAGTTAATTTTATTGACAGATAAAACAGCAATGAAACAGATGTTCTGTGTTGAAGCCTTCAATCCCGCTAGCATAAGCAATTTGTCGCAATTTCTTTTCCCTAACAAGGGGTGGAAAATCAGACTCAACTTCTGGAAAAGTCAACTCAGAATTCTAAGGGGACCAACTTCAAACAAAGACAAAAGAGAAAAGAACTGTTAATAGTAACAGATATTAAAAAGTAACTATCTGGGTCCCGGACCTAGACAAGGAAATGGAACAGATTTCTTCTCAATTCCTGGCCCTAGCCATCAGCCATCCTGACTCACAATGAGTCTTCCAGTCTCCTGGCTGGCCAGCCCATGTGATTACAGCCAGCCAGCAGAACCTAGTCCTTGCATAGTGGAGAGGTCCCATTTTGTCCCAAAGTGGAAAGGCAAAGCAAAAACACACAAATGGAAATTATGCAAGAAAACTCTAAATGACGAGAAGAGACAGATCTTAGCTGAATTACAACAGTACTTCAAAAAGTTTGTGGAAAAATAGAATTAAAATACGAATCTTTCCACGAACTTTCTGAAGACCCCTCGTATATGAGTTCCACAGGAAGAGAAAAGATGGTCAAAAGAGAAGCAATAATCTCAGAGAATCATGCTGGCAACATGCTTTTCTTTTCTTTTTTTTTTTTAAAAAGATGACTGGTAAGGGGATCTTAACCCTTGACTTGGTGTTGCCAGCACCACGCTCTCCCAAGTGAGCTAATTGGCCATCCCCATATAGGGATCCAAATTCGTGGCCTTGGTGTTATCAGCACCACACTCTCCCAAGTGAGCCATGGGCTGGCCCCAGCACCGTGCTTTTCTAATGCAAACAGGGGTGGCAGAAGTCAGGTGAGCAAACATTACAAACCAGACTACATAAGCCAACTGCTCGCAGTTTATATCATTCTTGTACCCTTTCTGGAAATTACCACTTTAAATAAACCAGATGAATATTGAATCAGTATATTTCAAGATGGAAATACCCAATACAACCTGTTTTATTAATTCCAAGAAAAAATTTCACATTGTAACCCTCTGAACTTGGGGTGCACCTTGTATTGCTGGAGCTTTCAATCATAGGGGGCAGTCATAATGCAGCTGTGTTAAAACCTTCCGTCAGGTATAAGGTCAAAAAGTACTTTTTAAATCTGATGAAAATTATGTAAGAAACATCGGTGAACAAAATAAAACCAGTGGCCTTCAATCAGAAATAAGTAACTGTGGTTATGAAGTATAACATAATTATTTTGACAAGATTATTAGAAGAAAACATCATTCACTCATTTAAGAACTATTTCCTGAGTGCCTATTATCACCAGTATCATTGTTCTAGGTACTTGGGAGTCCCTGACACTCAGTGAGCTTACACCCAGTGAAAACAACTATTGTTCTTTGAATAAAATTCCCAAATAATCCTTACTTTTTTAGGGGCATAAAATCCTAAATTGCTACGTATAGCAAATATTACAGCCAAGATCATGGTTTTCTTACTCTTATTCCAGTGGACAGATAACCAAACTGTTTATCTAGCATTCAAATTAATCTGCTCCTCACACTTGCTTATTATTCTACGAGTGACCAGCTAAACAAATCAATACAACAAATCAACACAGGATACAGTCAGGACTCCTCCCTGCTGATACTGGCAGAGGTAATTTTCAAACATGGGTCTTCCCAAAGTTAGTTTAGCAACCAACAGGTTTCTTTGCTACTAGCAAACCGACACACACAAAGGACAGCCAAATATTTGAAGCCAGGGGTGAGCAAACTTTCTCTGTAAAGGGCCAGATAGTAAATATTTTAGGCTTTGTAGGCCATATGATCTCTTCTTGTAACTATTCAACAACTCTGCCATTGTAGAGCAAAATCAGCCATAGACAATATGTAAAGGAATGAGCATGGTTGTGTTCCAATAAAACTTTACGCTGAAACTCGTATTTCATACAATTTTCACATGTCACAGACATTATTCTTCTTTGGACTTTAAAAAATATAAAAACCATTCTTAGTTCTTGAGCTGTACAGAAACGGGCAGTGGGCTTTTCTGGCCTGGGGGCTGTAGTTTTACCGATCCCTCTGTTGTAAGCCAAAGCATTTAAGTGTTTTTCTCATAAGCTTCAGGCAAGTGAACTCCATGAACCTTGTTGTTATAATTTTATGAATCTAGCAGTTAAGTTAGCTTCATGTCTAGATGCCAGTCAGGTTTTGATGAATCCCATGTCTTAATCTGTATGTTCCCGGTGACAAATCCCAGATAAGCCCTAATCTTAAGAATCTCCGAAGACTGGTTCTAGGGCCTACCAGGGGTTCTAAGATAACCTGAAACAAGACCAATTTCCCCAGATGGAACTGTTTCAGACTCTCCTTAATGATCCCTGGAATCAAGATTTGTCTCGGGGCCGGCCCGGTGGCACACTGGATAAGTGCGCCGCTTGGGAAGCGCGGCGGCGCTCCCGCCCGAGGGTTCGGATCCCACATACAGACCGGTTCCCGCTCACTGGCCGAGCGAGGCGCGGGAGCGACGCCGAGGGTTGCAATCTTGTTGCCGGTCCCCGGCCCGGTACGGGGGCAACACTGAGGGTTGCGATCCGTTGCCGGACATGGAAAAAGACAAAAGACAAAAGACAAAAAAAAAAAAGATTTGTCTCATGGTCCTGGAATCCTTCTGAAGGATTCTGACACCATGGATTGAAATTAAACAAAAGAAAGACTGCGACTAGTTCTGGTCTTCAGTGCTTTTTTCTGCACACGGCCTGAAATGCCAACAGGCTTTCTGAGTCAAGATCTTTTTAATTCTGCCAACTGGTCACTGTACAATCTCAGAATAGCTCATTTCTCCATAGCCTTCTTTCAAGTCTTTAGGACTGAAAGTGGTTGGGGGATAGGGGGAGTGGTATAGAGATCTGGGGTGTTTTCATTCTTTTCAAGCTTGGAATCCCTAAAAAGGGCTTCTGCTGAAACAAAGGGGGGGGGGGTAAGTCTGCAATCTCTATTCCTGTCTTCTTGAAGCAAACTCTGGAATATGAAGATTCCAGTACAGGTCAGGTTACTACTGGTTTGAATAACAATTTTTAGATAACAGGGGATCTAGATACCGAATGAAAAATCATTCAGTGAAAGTGGTTAATGCTTTTTTTTTTTGGTAATGCTTTTGACCCCAGTTGGAGATATATAGATTTAACCAAATACCACCAGTAATCAAAGCCTATATACAATGGCTATTTGTACGCAAAAAGAGGCTTCTCAGTTTATAAGTACTTGAAAACAATACTTACTGTTTTCTATGGTTGGATCGTAGGAGTCAACAAATTGGCCTTCAACAAACTGAATCGTCAATGAGGATTTCCCTATAAAAGAGAACAACAGCTCAGTATATATTGGCATATTAAGGTAAAAAATTTTAAATCTACTGTTTTACAAAAAGACCACTCTAACAGATGAAGAAACTGAAGATATTGGGTCAGAAAACACTCCTTTAATTATCATGAGTACTTTCAAAAAACAAAATAAATTTCATTAATTTGCTTTATGAAAAGGCTTTAAGCTTAATTAAGCTATTATTAATCAAACACTTCTGTGACAACAAATATTACTGACCAAACACATCAGATACCCTATTAAAGGTGAACTCTTCAAATAAGATCTAAACTAAGCTAATTTTAGTTTCCTTGGTGTCCTTGAAATCTGGTTATTTAATTTTAATATAGAAATTAATTTTAAAAAAGATATTTCTTTGTGCTCTTTCATCAATGGCTGTTAGAAGTACAGTTTTTAAAAAGTAATCTGAAAATACATAACAAGTCTTTATTTTAAAAACTCCTTGAAGATAGAAATCCTGTCTAAATCATTCAGTATTAAAGGCCTAGCAATGTCTAGACAATTAAGAAATGTTTGGGATTTCACAAAATCACCAGTAATAACTAAGCCCATGTATTAACCAATCAAGAACTAGAGCCCTAACTTCTCACCTCTGTATTTGTTACCTAAATTTCTACTGGAGGACTTCAGCACAGGGTTCATACCCTATGAAGAAGCAGTGCAAGAACACAGTCCAGATTATTTTACCACCAAGAAATAGGAAGTAGTCCTTCCCTTTCACCCCCAAACACTTCCTTCTCTGCTGTGTCCTCAGAACATTATTGAACACATGCTCCATATGCTTGTCATACTTAACTTTCATCTCAAAAAGACATGCAGTGAGAGCAAGGGGGAAGGGGAATGGTCATACCAATTGTACATGCCTGGATTTAATGTATGCTTTCCCCTCCTCCAAACCATGGAGAGAGGTATTTCACAGATGGCACATGTTTTCACAAAGGCATCCCCCATATACAGGAAAACGAAATTATTTAAAAGTTGGCTTGAGAGTAGGAGCTGCTGGGAGACAACTAGAAAATCCACGAGTTAGCAGACCTATGTACTCCTGACCAGCAGCTTGACGATAGTTCAAAGTGTCTCTAGAATTACTAAAACATGCAATCATTCTCTACAATGTGGCCTATATGAGCTTTTGAAAATCTGATGTTACTCCCCTGCCTGAAATCCTAATTGCAATTAGAAGAAATTTCCAACTCCTGACCATGGCTCATAATACCATGTCCTCCCTACTCTGGCTACCTCTGACCTCATCTGCCTCTCCCCAGGCTCCAGTCACATCCCTTCTGCTCCTGCCAAGTTCCTGTCTGCCTTATCTCTTTATTCTAGCTAGCCATCCCCTCAGATCTTTGAATGTATGACTCATTTTTGCCATTCTGGTCTGAGCTCAAATGTCATTTCTACAGAGAAACCTTCTTTAAGACCATCCTACAAAGGTAGCACCCCTCACTAACAAACACTCTCATGGCTGTCCTATTTTATTTCTTCTTAGCACTTGAAATTATCTGAAATTATCTTCATTTATTAGTCCACAAGACCAGCACAGTGCCTGACACACTATAGACACTCAGATTTCTGAACAAAGGAATGAAATTAAAGTTCAGACCTATGAAGATCATACTCATCCATTCAGATACTATAAAAGACCTCAATTTTATAGAAATGAAATAAGAACCACAGGTCAAGAGAAATTAAGAAACAATTCAACTACTAGATACTGGTACCCAATCATGGGCCTGCCTGTGATAAGGATACAATAGTAGTTCAGGAACTCCATAAATTTCAAATGGATTGTGTTCAAGAAACCTTGTTAAATATGCTAGCCTGTAAAGAATTTAACTCAAAATATAGCAAAACTTTTTGTCATAAAAATAGCAAGGGGGCCGGCCCGGTGGCGCACTGCTACAGTGCGCTGCTTGGGAAGCGCGGTGGCGCTCCCGCCGAGGGTTTGGATCCCACATACAGACCGGCCGCTCACTGGCTGAGCGAGGTGCGGGAGCAACACCGAGGGTTGCGATCCCGTAGCCGGTCCCGGTCCGGTACGGGCGCGACACTGAGGGTTGCGATCCGTTGCTGGGCACGAAAAAAAGACAAAAAGGAAAAAAAAAAAAAAATAGCAAGGAAAAAACTCCTTTTTTATGTTAGCAAAACTTAAAAAAGTTAAATAATTTTTTTTTTTTTACACTGAATGCTACTTACTGCTTGAAGCAAAAGGAGTTTGATTGGAAAGAATAAAAAAAGAAACTTTGTAAGGGCTTTTAAAGAGTACTTCTGGCACTCTAGAACTTTTGATATCATTAAGTAGGTAGGATAAGGGTATAGGTGTGGGAGTGTGTGCTGCTTACAAACGGAAAAAAGGAAAGGAAGAAAGCAGAACATTTCTTTCCTAAAGATAAATGGGCAAGAGTTACAAAGAAAAAAGGGGATTAAAAAGATTTCTGTAACTTTTTAGAAGTAGAACTAGATAAAAAAAAAAAAAAAAGCTAAAGAAAGGGATCAGGTATGATATTCAGTATGTGATAAGCTCCCCAGGCAGTGGGAAACTGGTAGGAAACCTTGATGTCTCAACAACCTTACACTGTAGGAGTGAAGGAAGGGGACAACAGCCTCAAGAGTTATCACATGAAACTTAGGAAGCCATATCCAAACTGAAGAGAAAGCAGTACACATTAAACAAGATAGCATGAGATAAAGTGTAAAAGTAGATAGATAACAAGTGGACATTTTAAAAATACAATTATTGTTACAAATTCAAGGAGTTCCCCATTTGTATCATAAAGGGAATAAATTACTTGACAGGCTAAATTACCATTTAACTGGAAAACATAAGAAATCATCCTGGCAAAAGCAGACAATAAAGTCTAACCAAAATCACAACACAGGCCACTGCTGTCTTCATGAATAGTAAACTGGAATACCAGAATTTAAAACCTTATTCTTTAGGACATAAACTAGTTGTCTCAATCAGATTGGCCCCTGGGAGAAAGATATTATTCATTAGCAGAAGTGGGACTGAAGAAAAGCTGGGTTTCCCTTGGGTCTCTCCTCTCTTGAACTCTCCCCTAAGGGGAGATAATTATTTAAGTCAAGAAGGGAACAGGAAGGAAGTTTACATTTGCTGACATGATACAGCTGTTTTTTGCCATTTCTATGAAAAAGAGTTATTAGACAACTAATGTTAAAATCTTTACAAGTCAGCATTGAATGATAATCTTTGTAAATAAATTCCACTGGTCATTTTTCAAGTGTTCTCAGCTCTGGTTATTGTAATATCTAGGTTTAAACAATCCAGCTCTGATGAACAAGTTTTTTGTGAAGTTTGCTTGAAGCTACAAAAAGGCATTGTAGATCTCCAGCAAATTATGTTCTTTTCTATGATCACCTTTTAAATTTTTCCCTTAATAACTTCATACATTTGCTTTGGCTTTTGTCCTTAGCAAATTCAAGTTTGAATCACTAGTTATTTCTTGAAGATGTTTCAACAATAACCATGCTCTCAGAGGGCTTATCCATTTGTCCAACCTGAGGAGACTCTCAAACTCCAGACCAACTGTGGAGAAGTGTTACATGAAAACAACAGAAGAGTGACTAAAGTGAAGAGCAGAACATAGCCAGACATGTTTATCTGCATACAAACACAAAAATCACTCATTTTATGACATATGTATAAAAAGGTTTGAAAAGAATACATCAGTTCCCAATTAACTTCCAATCCAAAAGCCACCTTAACTTTATTATTCTGGGCGGCCGGCCAGTATGGGGATCCAAATCTTTGACCTTGGTGTTGTAACACTGCGCTCTAACCAACTGAGCTAGCTGGCCAGCCCTTAACTTTAAAAACCATAAAAGTTATTTAAAAAAAATTCTTCTGACTCTTACCAGGTAAAAATAGCAGTTATATGTCTTTTTTGCAATGATAAAATGGCACAGTAAGTTTTTTCACCCAGTATTTTCACTATAGAAGGTACAAATATTCTCAAGGTTATGGACTGAATCTCATACTTCGTGATTATTGCAAACACCGTTTACACAACTATTTTTATAGTTTTCAGATTTTAAGCTTGTTTTCATGTCTATTCTCCTAAAAAATCTAATTGTATATAACCATCTCCCCCACCCCCAACCCAGCATTCATTAGAACATTTGCTCATTGGGATATAATGGGGAGGAGACAGTTTTCAATCTACCAACTAGTCTACCAAGTCATTTGGGAGAAAGGGAACTGATGTAATATATCTGGGAGAGAACCCATTCTGAGGACTGCTTTCATCTTCACTCCAGTTTCTTAATATCACTTTAAGGGACACTGATGTCCATGTACACAAGCTGTCTAACAGCTTAGCCTCAGAGCCTATCAGTGTCGCTACCAGTAATCATCTCCACACCACTTCAGTGACCCACCTCTGAGCACACCAGGAAGCGCTGGTCACCACCCAGACTGATCCTCCTGACACCTGCACCCGCCTACGTAACCAATGGACCAGGTATACTCCTAGCTCTCTTACCACCTTATACAGACCATTTCTGGAAGCAACATTTCCAGGGATTGTGACCTCACAGGTCATGAAATCAATATACTGAGCCATGACCCACACTACTTTTAAGAAAAGGGAACATCAGTGTAGACTGCAACAGTAAAGGGGTTGTGAAACTCCTGTCTCAGTTATACATACATTATGACTGGGTCACAACATAAAATATATTTCTTACTAAGGGCTGCAGTCAAAAAGGTTAGCTACTACTCCAAACTGTCACTCTGAATCTCCAATCTCCAGGGGGGTTCACTTCCTTCCCTATCCAGCTTAAGCCCCAAGATAAATCATTTTCTACTACTCTTGTCAGGAGCCTCCAATTTCCTTTCTCTAGGGACCTTTGATAAACCATTATGATCTTAATCTAATCAATTGCCTTTGTGAGCCTATTGAGCTTAGCTGAAGAAAAATTCCACAACTGCCTTGGCTTGTGATCTTTCCCTCCCCGTCCTGTCCTATCTTTTTATTTTAGGAATA